ACAGCTTTTTAATGTGCGCATCTTCTGTTTTTTTTTGGCGTCCGTCTAGGTTGTTGTTGCATAATAATGGAGAACTGTACATGATTATTCTTTTAAATATAAAACGGATGAGAAGTTTTTTTTTATGTTTTTTATTCAACAATACTGTCTACTGGTGTGACCAAGTAAAAGCATTTTACAAGGAACTCACGCACGAGTCTCGTTTAAATAATTTATCCGACCATTAGACGGGAACGCCATAATTAAATATTAATAATCTACACTCGGAAATAGCAGTAACGTTTTTATTGAAAAAAAAGTTACAGCTGCCTGGTTTTTTTTGTTTTTTAGTTAAAATTTTTGTTATTCAAATGTAAGTATTTATTTTAAAAATATACGGATTTTTGTTGCGCACACATACAATTATTTATTTATATTTTTAATTAACACTGCCCGACCAAATTGCTCAAGTTACTCTTCCATCACTATTAAACAGTGGAACGTATAAACATTTTAAAAGATTATGGTTTTTGTACAAGAAAAGGACCAAATTTCTTTGGAAACCTTTGATGTTTTTCTAATTTGTTAATGGGGTTGTGATGACCCTCATGTATAATCAAAACCCTGTTGATGAACAAACGAATCGTCATCGAGTAGTGCTAATATTTTACTCGAAACAATTGTTGGTTCCCTTAAGAACAACTACTTCCTAAGGATAAATTTTCTTATTAATAATTATACGGTCAAATAAAAAGCCAAAATCTCTTTTTATTAAATAAGTCGATGAAAAAATCAAAAATGTTTGTTCCTACAAAATACAAAATTGCCTAAATGACAAATTAATAAACGTACCTAATTGTTCTTTAAAATTGTATATAATTGATGGTAGGGTAGTAAATATTGTATTAAATAATGAATCTTTGCAACGCCGAAGATATTTTAACGGTTTATCTCATACTGAAACAGAAATAATGCTCCAAAACCTAATTCTCTGAAGTCTTCTGTTTTGTGTAAGTCCTCTTTATTTCTGGTTAAGAATGATGGAGTGCTGTTTACATAATATATCTTATAGAATTTACATGAAAGTTCAGCAAATTAGAGACGGAAAATAAAACCAAAAATAAAGAGAGAAAAAAAATAATCAATAGGAAAAACTGGGAATAAAAGTTGTTGTTTAAAAAACATGACGTTGTGAAAATTCCAACAATGGAAGCATAGCATGAAGGACATTTCAAAGTGTAATGTAAGATATTATCTCTGGGCTATTTGGATTATAAAAACAACTTACAAATAATTACAATTATTATATTGATTTCTAAGGGTATGCCAATTTTAAATGTCTGAATCCATTTTTCTTAAAAATTTAGCTTTTCTTAATTTATTTCAAATTAATAAAACACCGAATCATAAGAGCTCTATGATCGACCTTATATTATATAATTTTTTGTCTCAATTAATATTCTTAAATAATGATGTTATCGTTCCTGTAGACAGTTATGCTCATACTATTATCGCATCTTCTCTATCGTATTTAGAATTATATGGCTGGTCTAAGGGTAACTATTTTGCTATCCTATCATTCCTTGAATCAATAAATTGGGTCGATTTTTAAACTCAGTAATGATATTTACATTCTCATCGATGAATTTTATTCTTCGTTACATTTTATTACAGATTCGTATATTCCTAAAAAAAGATATTATAAATATACATTTCCTTGTTGGTTTTCTAAAGACCTAATTAATTTAATTAAATTTAAAAAAACTTATCATACGATTTTCAAGCTGTCAAACTCTGTATTCATAGTCGGTTCTTAAATCCTATCTTAAGTTATACTTTTAAAAGTAAAGTTTAATCATAAGTATTCATAAACAGGTAAAGGTTAAGTAAAATTAATTCTTGTGGACTACGTAAATTGAAAGCATAATCAAAACCTTGGTAACACTTGGTTACTACTTGTTATCACTATTGATTGTCATAGATTATCGATTAACTTTAATAATCTGTTTTGATAAGAGGTTCAATTTTAATATTTATTAGGTAATATATTTTATTGATCGCGACTGTTGAACACTTTAAATACAATTTGATTTTCTGTAGGTAATTGTTAATATACTTGTGTTTGTAACATAATTTTATTCAATTGATAAAATGTATTTGGTTTCTTCTACAACTAGTTTGTTCTATATGTTTGATTATGGGTAAAGGTATCGCCTATTCAATAACTGAAAAACAGATTATTCAAGATTAAGTTCAACCAAATAAAATTGTTGAAAACAAGAAGGCAGATGCTACTACTGTGCATGCAAAATATCAGGCTTGGGATCAAATTGCTGAGCAATTTAATGCCATCGGATATCATCCAAAATTAGTATTTTATTATTTGGGAATTTCCAGTTTCATAAAAACGTAAAACGGCGAGAAATTGGATTACTAGAAAATGGACTAGCAAACCTCTCATTGAACTATTATTTAATTTGGATTCGTTAAACATAAGAGGCATCAAATATTCTAATACAGTTGTTTTAGAAAATCTACCAAATAAAATATCAAATAAATAAAATTATGTTTATTTTTGAATAATTACTTACCTCAATAATTACATGAAAACCATAAAACTAAGTTTATGTACCTAAATCGGTTAGTGAACTCGACATCTGAAAAATGGTCAACTGGATTTTCCATATCTCGTATGTAACGTTTCGGAATTCGTTGACCACGATTATTATCAACATTAATGTACAAATTAATTAAATCCATAAATTCAATAACTTCCATTTTGGAAACGTAATAGTAGTTATGAAACTTGTTTTTGATAATTTTCGAATTTGTGATAATAACTAAAAGCAATGCTTAAGGTAGGTCTCGACCAACCTTAAGAATATTGTATATTAAAGTTATACTTTTTCTTTTCTTAAGCCAAAGTCTCGTTTACGAGTCTCATTTAAGTCATAAGTTATAAACGATACTTATTCTTAAGCAACGACTATAAATACGGGCCTAATAATGATTATTTAAAATTTTCTTCTTCACGTTCACAATGCAAAGCCCTTTGTAAATTGGACTACTCTCGTTACTTAAATATATGCAATATTCCCTCAAAACTCAACCCAATAAGTTCTGGTCTTTCATAAATAACTTCAGGTTACCAAACATTAAGGTGTTTAACCAAAAATCAGCGGAAAATGGCCAAGATATTGTTAGTTTATTTATAGTAGTTATTTTTCGACGTTATATAACGGTAAAGTTAATCTTAGTATATTCTTTTCTTCTCAAGTAGATGAAACCTTTCATTCTCTAAATAAACTTCATATTGACCTTCTTGATGTTTTTCATGAATTTGCTTCCTTCAGTTATAAGTCTGTTATTAGACCTACTTCTTAGAACTTCTGGAGAACCTCAAGGTATCAACTTGCTTCTCTCCTCTTAAACCCTTCAGTGCCCAATTTTTTTAGTCATTAAAAAACGAGGAATTCGGGAAAAATAAGGAAAAAATTCTAAACATAAATATTTTTTATATTATTCTAAGTTTTTAAAATGTAGCATATTGCAACAGTGGGCCATAAAATATTAATAAAATCATTTTTATTATTATTTATTAAAATTTTTAACATTTACATATGGTAATTAGTAAAACAATTTTTGTTACTAAAATAATATTTAAAACCCTTAACGATAAAATATATATAAATATATTTTTTATGGTTGAGGGTTTTAAATATTATTTTATTATATATAACCATAAGTTGCTCAAGTTTTTTCTAAATTTTTATTTATGTTCAAACATAAATAAATAGTACACTTTATCTTCACTGTTCGGTCAATTGGTATTATAAAGAACGTCTAATAGTCGTTGAGTATTTGATGACTCACATTGCTGAGGGCCTTTTTGCCCCCTGTAGCAAATATGCAACATGATTAAAATTTAGTACAATTCATAAAAAAATTGATAAAATATATAATTCTCTATTTAAATAGAATCTATAAGACTTACCAGAATGCGTAGAATTTTTGTTCAAAGAATAAATTAGTTTTTAAAGTATATAAAGTTAAAAGAAAACACGCATAGCCGTGGTTAAAACGAAATAAAAAACAAAAAAAATGGCAGGAAACTAAACATCCGTTATTATCTGAATCATTGTGGTGTTAATAACAACTGGCAGATGGATATTTCTTAAATAAATGAGAGCGCCACCTAATTCAAACATTTTTTATATGATAAAATATAATGATATTTTAAACATATAGCATATCTGCTAAAATGGTCACTGGAGGGTTAATTTGTTCATTAATGATTATGTCTTTTCTATTACTAATTCTAATATTCTTCTATTTGCCGATGACGCTAACATTTTCAAATCAATAACATCTTTTGAAGATAATAAACCTTTACAAGATTATTTAAACAGTTTTAATGACTGGTGCTATTTAAATGATCCCTCTTTAAATATAAATAAATACCAAGTTGTCTCATATTCTAAAAAAAAAATTAATCCAATTAGTTGTACTTATTGTATATCTGTTATAATGGTAGTCTTCCGCGTTCCTCTTTAGTTAAATATTTAAATACATTGTTTGATTCCAAACTATTATTCAATCCCCATTTATAAGAAATCAAAAATAAAGCGTTATCTGTCTTTGGTATGGTTAAAAAGAAATTGCTCTAATTTCAAAGATCTCTTTACCTTCAAATGTCCTTGTCCTTCAAATCTCTCATCCGTTCATACTTGAGTATGCGCGGCCTATTTGGGATAATAATATTGATCAATTTGAGAAAAATAAAGTCCCTAGGTTTATTTGCTTTAAATCTAGTATAATTAGAACCCTCCATTCTGGGTATGAAAATATTCTTAGCGTCTTATAAATGGAATCCTTAAACTCACATATTATATTTCTAAATAGCCAGTACAGTGGGGTCGAGGCATAGTGGGGACGGGGTGGTCACAGGTCCACAGAAATTATTATAAATGAAAGTGATAAAATCACTTTTAAATAAACGCTTCTATGCGAATCTGTTGTAGGTCCAAACCAGTACGGCCCAAACAACGCACAGTCAGAAAGTATTATACGTAAGTGGGTAGTAGTTGAAGTAGTACTAGTAGTGGTAGTAATAGTAATAGTAGTAATAGTAGAGTAGTAGTAGTAGTAGTAGTAGTAGTAGTAGTAGTAGTAGTAGTAGTAGTAAGTGGATAAGAAAGGAAGGTCCAGTGTTTTTTCAATAATTTTCAGGACCAATAACATGTACTCGTTTTCAGAGGCATTAATCGAGAAGACAAATTACATCTAGTCCTTCCGAGGCAATTTTAGAATTGTTAAAAATAAAAATTATTAGCGTTTACAAGACCCGTTTGAAATCGGTTTACGTGGGGCGGTATTAGACGATCCAAGGAAAGCTTAACTCCTACAGCAGTCTCTTGGGTTTCCTTCTTACAATATTGTATTGCCTCGGCAGAGCGTACAGGATTAAATATAATGATCAATCGTGTCTGTCATTTGAAATCCTCACGTAACAAGATTGAAAAAAGCATCTAAAGCGTTGCGTACGGATGATGTATATGCACATAATATTGCTGTGCCGCAAGTGTGAAATCTTATTAACCGTAGACGTCGCTCGGGTTGATGAGCATTTAAAGTAGACACGATATATTATAAGCATAAGAGCATTACATGTTGTCTACTCTATATTATTTTCGGCTCAAACGTGTCGACCTCATTATTATTGTCGTGCGAGTTCATTCAATGACTACCGGATTATTTTTGTTTCCACGCTTATGCTACCGAACAGTTTGATTTTCAATTATTATTGTACATTTCACACACCGATTGCTGTGGGAGTTGGAAGTTGACAAGGCGGTAATGGCAATTGATGTTGACACTCGTGATGCGCATCTACTTGTTATCAACAAGCGGAGCTTGTTTATTATTGAAATTGGGTCTGCTAAATCAATGTTCAAATCAAATCCCCAATTAAGAACTCTTGGAGGAGGAATTTTTTAGATTTTTTTTTAAATAGTGTCATATTATAGCACATTTGTTAAACGAAAACCCTTCCACTTTAATTGCAATTTGCAAGTAATTAGAGCTGAATTTTTTTCTCTCGTTTATTTACACTTCATTGTATACACTGTATATTTTGATGTTGTCTTTGCGAGTCTGCCCGATTTGTAGAGTTACATTTCATACAAAAAAAAAAAACAAAAATGTTTGCTTTATGAATTTGAAGAAAAAAGGCATGGGTAACAATATACTGTAATTAAACATAGGGTGGTATACTATAATGGAATGTACATGAATATACAATATGATATTTTTTTGGTTTGTTAATGATTATCGATAGTACTATGTTTGAAAAACAGTTTATATACATTTGGAACATTTTCGATTATTTAAAAAAAAGTTATACAGGGTGTTCCAGCATGAAAGGTAAGTAATAGGTGATTGGATATCTGGGGGACCCCCAAATAAGCCCCCTGTTTTCATTTTTTCGATTAGTAAAAAATTGAAGATTTCGACAGTTAAGTAAAAAAATAATGAATTAAAAATAAAAAAAATTATTCCCTGTTATTCAGTGCAAAAAGCTCACCTTAAAAGAGGGGTCACATCATTTTCAATCAGTTCAGCCCCTAACTCTTCTCTTCTCACTTCTCTTATAATTTTTTCTTATCTTTAGTCTCCAATCATTTATCTCTTATCACTAATATCTTATTATTTATTTCTTATCTCTTGTTTCTAACTATTTATCTCTAATCTCTTATCATTTAGCACCTATCTCTTATAATTTATTTCTTATCTCTCATAATTTATCTCTTACCAATTATCTCTTTTCTTTTATCTCTTATGAACTATGTCTTAGCATTTATATTTTATCACTTATCGTTTATTTCTGGTCTCTAATCATTTTTCTCTTATCATTTCTTGAGTTAGGGGCCGAAAGGAATTGAAAATGATGTGACCCCTCTTTTAAGGTTAGCATTTTTGCACTGACAATGAATAACAGGAATAATTTTTTTTTTTTTAAGTCATTATTTTTTTACTTCACTGTCGAAATCTTCAATTTTTGACTTATCGAAAAAATGAAAACGGGGGGCTTATTTGGGGGTCCCCCAGATGTTCAATCACCTATTACTTACCTTTTATGCTGGAACACCCTGCAGGGCATCGTAATTTTAAGTTGAAAAATTTGTAAATTTGTTGGGTGTTTTTCTCGATTTTGATGGGGAAGGGGTGACTTTTTGAAATTTTTGGCCTGATATAGTACTTTCCAGGTATGATTTCTGATCTATAGAGTTGCTACACGAAGAAATCGGCTCTACAGTTTATGAAATATCGTGGGTTCAGACACAAAAAAAAAAAAAAATAATAACGCATCATTGTAAAAACAATACCTTCTCAGCTCCGCATTGAAGCTAATTAAATAGGTCTAATATAATTTCATTGTTAAAAATCAATTTTTTTTTTAATATTTCTAAAGTTATGTGAAATATTCAACTCAATAATATGTATGGTCGTATTATGCATTGTTATATTTGAGTTTTTGCTTGTATTGTATAAAAAATAATAAAACTACTGTTAATTTATTTTAATTAAACTAAGTAATTGTTTTGTGTAAAATGTACGACGTGTAATTTAATATTGTTAATATTTCATACTTTATTGAATTTCACATTACCTAATGTGTTTAGTTTTGTTTTTGTTTCGATATATGAAAATAATTTCATTAATTGAAATACCTATCTCTAAAGTATCGATTTTATATGTAATAAACGAGTTCAAATACTTAGCTAGGGAGCAAAGAATCATATTTTTTTCTTTTTAACATTATAGAAAACGCTCAAAGATTTTACAGGAATTTCGTTTAAAAGCTTTTATAATAAGCATTCGGCAACTAATTTTTCATTACTTTGGCGTGCTAGATTTATAGCGTTCTACTTTAAATCGCCTTGCTTCCATTTTGCCAAAGATAATAAATTCGTTCGCGCAATGTACACGGTAAATGTATTAGGTTTATCTCTCAAGGGCAGTCACCTTTTCAATACCTTTTTTTTTTAATATTGAAATGTGCTTAAGGGGATTGTATGCGGTCTGTTTTTTTGACGTTTCAGACCAAATATCGACTACTTAGGATGGTGATACGGTCGAAATGTATTAAAGCCACTTTTTTCTTAAATATTGCCTCTATAAAACAGACCGCATGAAATCCCATTAACTTGCAATACATTTTAACCCGCGGGTTCGGTTGAAAAGGTGAACCCGAACGACCTTCTTTTTAATTTTCCAAACGTTATCCGCAACGCTTTAACGCCCTTTAACGATGATTGAAAGCGTACACAAGCCAACAGAATGTACTCATTTGGCGGTTTGGACTTGATGTAAGTATGCGGGTTTTTAATCAAGTTTCTTGCATGCTTGGCAAAAATACAAGCGTACAGTGTTATTGGTTTTCTGTGGAAATCATAATCGACATCATTCATCGGTCTTGATTAGACCATATTGTCGGCTATATTTTCTGAAGGCAGTGCTATTATGTTCTTTTAGAACTTTAACAAGAAAAACATCTTACAAAAGTCCACACAAGAATTTATGATTAACTGGATTCCGAATGGCCGGATGCAGCATGTTCGTTAGCGATAGCAAAATATTGTTTGTATCTTTCACCGAGACGGTCCAATCAAAATAATGATGATAATATCGATAATTTATAACACAATTTTTTCTGTTAATACATTGTTTTGTAGCAAGAATAATTGGCACCATCCATATTATAGTATATCTATTTGTTCTTCCAGTGTGTCTGCTTGTTGTGTAAATTTCGAGCGTTCGAAACCAATTACTTTTAATTAGACAACTCTACTAAATTAATACCCACAAAGTCTTATAATAATATGTATTTGTAGCTTTTTTCGGCCTAAATAAAAGTATATCTCAGAAACATTATTAAGTGTTAAGTAAAATTTTGATCACCCTAACGCCTAAACAAAATTAAACCGGATTAAAATTTAGTTATGTAATATTTTGTTCAACGCTTTGGTAAAATGTATACGGAATATTATGTTTAATATAATTAACATATACAAAACATTTGTCTAGAGCATGAAAAACGATTCAAACTACTAAAAAAAAAATCCATTGGAATTTCAAATGTTATTACCGGCAGTGGTTGTTTTTATACTAAAAGGGAAAACAATGAATTTCCATCAACGTAATAATGTAGAATATTATGCGTCGAAATTTTTGGATAATATTTTATATTCCAGACTACCCGGTTGTACACAGTTTGAGTTGTATAATAATATATTATTTATGACATGACATTTATTATTAATATTCCATTCTAGGTAAATATATTCGAGTAAGCTATTCTTTTTCTTTTTTTTTAATACTTCGAAAATAACATATTATATTACTTCTAAACGTTCTGATATATAATTTTGAATAGTAGTTCTTACGGATCGCCGAATTGGATAGTTTTGCATTATTTGTATACAACTCGAGTTATTATATTTTCTTCGAAAACGTCAGTTTTATTTATTTATATTCGTTTCTGTCTATATTTGGAGAAGAGAAAATGAAAAAACGTCTACGACTAAGGAAAATATAATATCATTTAGCAAACAGTCTTATTACATTTTTTTGTTTTACATGCATCGTGAAAAGAAGACTTTCATCTTTGTTTTTATTTTCATTTCGACTGCACGAGTATAAAAAAAATATAAAATATATATTACTACGTTTTTTCATTTTGATTATTTAAACAATATTAATTTATAATACCATCAATGTTGTACATGAAAATAGGTACATCTATTTTCAAAACTATCAGTTTGCAATTAATGAGTTTGGAATGATGGCAAAAATATGTTTTATACTGAATCATTTTTATTTTTTTTTAAATTGTTAGTTTAAAAACGGTATACACATATTTAAATTTAAATTGTATTTACTATATATTAAAAAAAAAAAGAATATACCTTTAAACTTTATCGAACTTGGAGTTGTTAATGTTTATGTATAGTACCTACTTTAATTTTTTTCTATTTCTTTGGAAACAAGCAATCTTCTCGTCTGTGTT